CCCCAAAACCCCAAAACCCCAAAACCCCAAAACCCCAATATTATAATATATTATTGAAACATATGAATTCAATAAGTCGAAAGAAAGACAGTAAATCTAGAAAACGTGATCATTTTACATCGATTTCTCCGAATAAGGTCCGGTTCGGTAGAAGCATACATAAAAGAATTCAAAGACTCTTCGAGACTCAAACTTACTCTTCAAAAAGAAGAAATATTAAGTATTCACCAAATCTTGCAAGAAAAAATAAGCCCAAAGGTCATTTTGATCGTGTAAAAATAGCAAGAGTATTCTCACCCAAAAATCCTAGTTACAGAAAATTATATATAAAATTCAAGTCAATAAACACTCCTAAAAACCGAAAACACCAGAAATCGATCAAAAAGCCGCTCAAAAACCTCAAAAGCAGGCTAAAAGTGAATAAAACGGCTCTAAAATCTAAAAACAAGAACATAACTGTTACTAATCCCTCTAAACCTATCAAACTAGACTGTCTTTCTCAGAATAGTTTCTGAGCTGCTTTTAAGCGAGGCAATCTAGGAATCGTAGGAATAGATACAAAGAAGGCGAATAAACTCAAGAAGGAAGAACAGAAAAGTAAGTTTCATTAATATTTTTCTGAGATGTTGTGACATATCATGGCTGTATAATAGAATTTTTACGAATTAGTACAACTTGGGTTTATTAATTAGAGTAACGTTGGGTCTATCAGTTCGAAGTGTTAGATGAAGATTTGGGTTTTTGGCTCTGTGGTGTAATTAGAATGTTCGTAACCTTATGTAAACAAGAGAAATTGACTTAATACATTTTTATTAACACGCTTCTGGTGATTATATTTACTATACAAGAAGTTTTATTTCAAATTATGACTCAATAAATGACAGAATTTTATAATTACTCCTAGAAATATTTATGTCAAGCATTCAGAATAAGAGAAAGATATCGTCTGGCTATATCGATATTGGAAAAATAGCCTATCATATGCCGAAGAGTAGTCCAGATGGTTTTCTAAAAATAGGGGATGATATGCCACCTCTGAATTTCACCAATTCACCTCTAATAAACATAACCAAAAGACCTGCGGAACAGTTTGAATTTGTTGCTCACAGCCCATGCTTGCCACCATCTTCTATCAGTGTCATTTCTCATGGAATAAAGGAGGTATCTGATGAATAGGCTACTCCTCACTATAATAAAGCTAATGCTTATTTCTAATTACTGAACCTTCTTGTTTATTAACTTAGCCTTCTTCTATTTTGTAGTTACAATATTGAACTATAAATTCTATTAGGGGTTCCCAGATGATGTGTACCTACCCACATCGAAGTCTTTTCAAGAGAGAATAAATCTAAGGGAACTTGGAGAGTCCAGAGCTCCATCGGTATGAAATTTCAATGTGTTTTAGCTCTGTAGGGGTTTTGGGGTTTTGGGGTTTTGGGGTTTTGGGG